AAAATGTTGCCCCTCAAAAATTGTGATGGCGCAACTTGAAACCCCGGTGTGGTCACCTCTGGGTTTATCTATACACTGTAAGCTAGATATAAATAATTTTTACCTATCTGTCTGACAATAAAATTCGCATTTCGATATGTAAGTATTGTACCTCAAAAATGTCTCAAGTGAACATAACCGACCGTATGCAAAGATTGGACGGGACTCAAGTTAAATGAAGTAATCAAGATGGCAATTTGAATATGCTAATCGCCAAGGCAACTATTGTTGCATTAGCCTTCATTTGCATAGTTACTAACTCGCTCGCTACGTGCTCTCAATCCTAAGGCGTTCGCGGCAGCTCGTTCCAACCTGATTGACAAACTAATTTTCAAAAAAATAATCACATTGAAACCTGTGTTTATATCATATTGGTTTATTTTAAATGTTTCACAGGCCATAATATTATAAGGAACGTAAAATACGGTTTTGTAGGGGACGAAAAAAAAAAAAAAATGATATGATCAAATAGCAGACAGAATTCAACATAGCTATCCTCCTCATCAATGCATTAAACGGAATATATTTATTCTTATATACAATATGTCATAATATCAAGCTATTCCATTCAACACACACAATTAGCGATACTTAATACTCTAGCACGACTGTTATAGTAACAATTTACTTAATAAATAATTCGCTTGTCCCACTGGAAAATGTCCCTTTATAATTAAATAGTCAAGCAACAAGACAGCTCACCCTGAACTTATAGTAATCCATTATTGTTAGTGTTGCCCAAAATCGGTCTTGCACTTTGCAAGACCAAGGCCAAGGCCATTTAACTGTTGCAAGACCAAGACCAGGACTGATAAAACAAATCGATTTTAAAAATAAAAACTAAGGCCAAATAGTTACTAATACTTGACAATCTTAGTTACTATATGATAATAATTGGTATAACCAATATACTTTTGCATTTAACTCCTCTAATTTTTCATTCGGGCTTAGTTAGGTTTCTTTTATCTAAAAAATTACAGTAATATCTCCATAGTAATAAGCTAATAAGTAACTGCAAGACTGTTGCGAGACTCTTCCGCAAGATCAAGACGGTCTCGCATTCGGGCAACACTAATTATTGTACTCGCTCAGGCTTATTTGTTTGGTGCAGAACAGGATTGATCTGTAATTTTTTCACTTACTTAGAGTATAAAAGTCTATTACTGAGAAATATTAAGATGATATATTATTATTATTGAAGGGATGAGATATTGAAGGGGTAGAAGATAAAAAGATGAGATATATTTTTTTTTTTTTGGGTCTTCCCCTTCCTCGCCGTTAAGGCTATACGGGATTTTCCCGGGCCAGGGGGTGTGGACGGGAATTTAAAAGACGCTTTGGCACCGGGACGCGAACTCGTTACTTTTTATAACATCTGTCATATATCAGGTTGCCGGGCAACGGTGGTGATGTGCACAAGCGTTAGCCCATTCGACCACCCCGCCCACGGAGATGGGATATTATTATAATGTTATGATAAAGGCAGTCCTAATATACGGCTGGAGGACATGGACACTAAGCGGCACCCTTGAACAGAAGTGATACGGGATACTATTGCATTCTAACTCATGAATGAGAAAGACCAATAAATAGCTGCTTGCAGAAAATAGTCAATCAATTTGTCATGATATGAAGGTTAAATGATAATGGGATGAATAATATATAAATAACCGTCTTCTTCAATTTTTTTTTCCTTTGTAACCAAATCGTTTATCCAAAGTATCTCCAAAACACAAAATCAAGGTCGTAGCCGAAAAAATATTAGTTGGGAAAACAATTAATAATAGAGAATAAAAATGCCTCGCTGGCCATACGTTAAAATTTTTGGGGAAGAAGTGATTATAAAGTGGCATTTTTGGGTTAATAACGTATGTGCAGACTGCGGGAGGAGAAGGGGGTGGCGATCCCTCCGCCCCTCCTCCCCCCGATAATAATGTTTAGTGAGCTAAAATATCCTTTCATGAGATATTGACTGACCAGTTTCTTTTAACAGTTCTTTATTGTTCCTTCTGCTCCTTATCGCACAGAGGACTTTTATTTTGAATCTCTCAATTCTGGCTTCTAGTGCCGGTTATAGCCCTGGTTTCACAGGCGTTCAGCAGAACTGGCTTTATCAAGGCGTTGAACATCCTTAGTTTTAGATTTATGGATATTTTTCTGAATTTCAATTCCTCTGCAAAGGAGAAGAGCGCGCTGTTCGCACTTCTTCGCTTGTCTATCTCTGTTAGTTGATCATTTATTGAGGTTAATATGGAGCCGAGGTATTTGAATCTGTCTACTTTCGGGAATGACTTAGAGTTCAGGAAGATCATGTTATTAGGGTGGGTTTTTCCGGCTATCATATATTTTGTTTTATCTACATTGATTTGTAGTCCGATTTGCTCTGCTTCTCTTAACAGTCCAAATGAGTCTGTCGACATCCTTTTGATTGCTTCCGAGGACAGCTATATCATCCACATATACAAGGATTTTATGTTTCATTCCGACGTGCACCTCCCCATCTTCGCGTGATGTTGTTCCTATTAGTTTCTCTAGGGCAAAGTTAAACAGCATCGGCGAGAGTCCATCTCCCTGCCTCAAATATGTATATACAAATATGTCTTCGAACAAACCAAATTTTTATAAAAATTATATATGTTTCAATATATATATATATATTTTTTTTAAAATGATTTTTCGGTTGGCTAATACAAAATATGGAGCACAAAAATGAATAAAGATATACGAGAAAAAGAGTGGAGAGCAGACATCGATTAGATCCAAATATATTAACAATTTCGGGCTTCAGCCAAATTCCAATTTTAATGGTTATTATAATGGTTCTCGCAATAAATTAGATAATAGTAATGGCGTCAAACGATCAACTTTTTGAGGCATTAAAATAGAGTTTATTGTGTAATAGGTATATTTTAAAATGTAATTTAGGGTTAAACAAATCTTAGAGACCGAGAAATTTTAAAAAAGCACGGCTCAAACAGCCGATCCAGAAAATTTAGAAAGCAGGACAGCAGTATTTTTTGTGCAGGTTTAACTTGACAATCGGGTTTGCTTCCTTTCAGCTACTTTTCTCGACTTTTATTTCATATAAAATATTAACGAGGTTTACAATGCAAACTTTTTTAACCAATTTTTATTTTATTCCGTTACAATTTTATGTTCTGAGAAACGTTTGGGGAATACAATCTCTTCTGATCAATGTTCAGTTTAATATCTAAAAAATAATACTAAAAATCTTGCCCAAGGAGAATCAATGGATCAGGAACATAAGTATCATGTAATATTATTTTTTATAGTTAAAATTATAGAGATTCGAAATTTTCCCCTTATTTGTGGGAAACATTAACGTATGAAATTTCCAAGCAAGTGAAAATAGTCTACTGGTTGATGGATGGATTGGGGTGTCTGATAAAATCTCGTCCAGTGCACCTGCGACCCCCATGAAGGCTGTATTAGTAAAATATTTCTGTAGTCCACTATAATCAAATTTCAAATTTAAGAGTCAATTGGCCATTCATTCAGTTGTTTCCTTAGGGTACTTACCAAGTTTGTGAAAACTATGAAGTTTAGTTTGTTGATGTCTACACATGAAAATTATTTTATATATTTCTTGTGTATTTACATATCAACTGTCATAGGTGCAGAGTTTCCATTTTGGTTAGAGATGATAGATCCTCTTTGCCCTCAAAAAATAGTCTCGAGAGTTTATAGTGTGTATAAAAACTACAAGTGATCATTAATACAATCAACATGATTGTTGTAAAACGAACAATACAATACTAAAGTATATGTAAAATATAATTTTATCTTTGAATATAAATTAAAATTTCCATAATAAAAACATAGGGCGTGATGGAATACTTGAGCACCTAATTGTAGGCCTTAGCTTACCCATCTAGTCGACTTTTCCAATTTCCTTAATTGATTTTAATTTATACATTTTGTTGATTCATGTAGATTAATTTTTATTAACTTAAATTTAAATTTTTGTTTTTCTTCAAAATATTCAGAAGGGAGAATAGTCTCATCCACTCTCTATTTTAATGGTGGAGGGGGAGGGGCGATCGATGGTATGAATGAACACATTTAGCCTTGATGCTTATTTCGCTTCAATCTGGCTCATTATATCATTTAATATTCAATAAAATAGCATATTTTGTGAATTGGCTCCCTTCTGATAAATGCAGTTCATATATTATATTATATATCTAAAATTTATTTCATTAAAAATACAATACTAAAATTACATGATTAAAATTACTACAATCCTTAATATATAGATTAATGATTTTAATTAAATATTGTGATGATTAGCCTTTAATCCTGTCTTGGATAGTATTCGTTGTTTTGTTTTTTAGGGCGTTTTCTTTGATTACTGAAAGAGCTGGAGTCTACAATTTTTTATTAATTGCTGTGTCTCTCATAACAAACATTGCAAATTGTTGAGGTATATTGACATTGATACATATTGATTAGTTAAACAAATTTCCTGAATGTATTTATGCTTGTATTTCTTACAGAAATCAAATTACAAAAAAAAAATAATGTATTATCAAGAGTGATATAGAAATAAAGAATATCATTAGTCTAAAAGATTTCCATTATTGTATTAAATAATTACAATGGATCTGATTTACTTCAACATTAATTATATGCTAAAAATAAAAATTGGCCTATTCCGAACAAAAACTTAGTTATAAATATTGAGTTATAACTTGGTTTAAATAATTGCATATCAGTTAAGATGTTCTTAATATTATATTTAAATTTCATTCAAATCTTCCGAGAAAGCACAGAATGAGATTAAACGATTTCACATTTTGCCAACATTTCGAAAGTTCCACTTTCACTAATTTAAATTAAACACGGAGAGTTTAAGTTTCATTAAAAAAAAAGTATAATTAAAAAATAAAAATTAACACTTAACTTATAAGGTAAATGGTATAAAATAGTAAAACAATGCATATTTAATTAAGAAATATATTTTTATACAATTAATTGCTAAACATCCCAATATCGTATACACAATTTATACAAATAGTGAAACAACAAAACAATTAAGAGGGAAGACTTTCAGATTTTGTTGTTTAAGGCACTTAATAAAACTCTAGTTATATATATATATAATATCAGTCATTTTCTTATTTACAATATTTACAAAAATAATAAATCTAGATTTATTGCCACTCATAAGACATTTTGCAATTACGGAAGGTACCTAGAGAGATTTCAAGACATCTTTTATCTCTTTGAGATCATTATTACATTATTAAGGCACATCCACATTAAATAATACAAATTCAAAAAAAGAAACACGATTAAAAATAATTATGATTAATTTTCTTTAGAACAGTAGTTGGTTATAGTATATAGATATATTATATGCAAAACACAGTTATTAAATAATAAGATATCAATAAATTGATCAAAGAGAACAATAATTATGTTTCCTTCCAATTTGTACAAAATTTATTTACTCCTACATTTATAATGTTATCTATGAAAGAACTTATAATCACTTTGTTTGAAGTACAATTACTTATCTAGTTTATCACATTGTGCTCACTGAACACTATTATTATAAATGTCCTTAATTGAGACAGATTGTAAAATTCCTTAATAAACAAAAAGTTTATCACATATGCTTTATAAAATAAGTTGTCATCAACTCTAGAGACTCAAATAACAACCAATGCCCAGTTGATAGTTACTTTTTCAGAATTTCTGAGTTCTGTTCTATGGTTTATTAAATATTTTTTATTAGAGATTACGTGTGTTTTCCTCATGTACAAAGTTAATAAAGTCAAGGAAGTAAACCTAAAAATTATAATTTCCTGAAATTATTTAATTCGATCTTATGAACTTGAAAAATTCACTTTAGTTTTCTAAGCACGTATATTTATCTACCTACTCTTTGATTTATGATTTATATAAATGTCCATTTGAAAATAATTTCAAGAACCATAAATTAGGGGACATTATTAGTCAGTGATGTTTCGTGGATTACGGCTGTAAAGGCTATCTTAGTAATAAGAGCTCCAATGATGATGGGGTACTTCAACGCCTACCATGGCCTCCAGCAAGGCTTTTCCTCCTTGACCACAAGGCTGAGGGGCTCTGGTTGTGGTGGTAAAGCTGGTTGAGGGAGAGCAGCAGGTTGAGGTACTGCTGCGGACTGCTGAGGTACCTTGTGCTGCTGAGGCGAACAGGGTACCACCAGGGCTATGTCTCCGTTCACCAGCCTGGTAGGGACCAGGGTTACCACTGGTGAGGGCTCTGTGGATCTCTCCATGCAAGAGGACAAGTGTTCGACGAGCCTCTTCTTCACCTGCAACAACATAATAAATTGTTAGTTAACTTAATGAGATAATTACATTATAATTTACATTAAGATAATTACTGAGATTATTATCTTAATGTAAAAGAGCAACAAATAAATAACTATTAGCACATGATATGGAATATTTCAAAACATAGAAAAAAAAACAAAAAAAACTGTAAATAACTAACCAGTAAACATTTTCCCAAATCAAGTATCATCAAGACAGAAAAGGCCACGGTCACATAGGTAAACAAAACTTGTAATACAAATCCCATAAGAATTTCAAAATCGAATAAAAAACAAAACAAATCAGTTCTTCAATCCAATGTTGGAGACTACAGTGGAAAAGTATTTGTTAGTTATTTAAGTAACAGATCACACCCGTCTATATTTTGGATCATTAATTTTCAATGAAGAACCTTTGCAAACTGTAATAGATAGAGTACAAATTTCGTACCAAAAAAAAAAGTCTTCGAAATCGGACTAGTCCTAGAAGAGATATGACGTTTTGAAATGTATGCATATGTTTTTACAAATATTATATAAAAACCCTCTCATTCTCTGCATTTTTGATAACTTTTAGATCTTCATTTGAAAAATTATTTGATCATCTGCTAAGATGAACATAATGAATAAACAATTATGGATGAGGTTGACCTCTACTTGTACAAAAGTTAAAAATTGACAATACAGACTAATTGAGAATGTCAGTTAAACTGAAGTCAAGGATTGTAATGATTGAGGATACCAAGCACCGCCTTCGGGAAGGAGACGCCACAGGCCCACAGATCGGGAGAGACAGGAAGTAACATTTATTCCCTCCACGTCCTCCGACAGGCTAAAAGAGAAAAAGTTGACGAACACGTGCGCCCAAGGGTAGCTAGTGGCTCATTAGTACAGTTCAATGGGGTCTTTCTTATTCCTATTGTCCCATCTCTAGTCCTTCTCCTACTTCGATGCTACACTTATCACGATGGTCATTGAAACTTAGCACAATATTATTACAGATTAATAATATTAGATTCTTAAAGAATATAATAAGAAAAGGATGAACTGAATTGCAACTTTTGTCATGCCTGATGAATGATCCAAATCCTAGGATATTTTTTTTCCCTGAGACATTATTCTCGACAGCTACCCGAATATAAAAATGTAATAATCTTATAAAACTGTAAATAACTAAGAATAAATATATCGTTTACCTGAGAATCCAATCCTGGGAACCTGTCGACTTCGCCAACACATTCTCCCCATCCAGCGCGGAACTTGTTGACTACAGCCGGATCTGCCGCGACAGAGAGAGCAACCTGGGACCTTTGTAGCGACTCTACGTGCTTCACCGTCATCTCCAGGATATCGGCCTTCTCCAGCTTGGAATGTCTAGCTGGCTGTTGGAAGAGAAAAATATACTCTTTAGTTCATTTGATTTACATTAAATTACAGTATTCAAATATATAATAAATAGATTTTTGCAATTAGAATTCTATAAATTTAAGAATTCTATAATATTTTTTTTTTTTTTAATTCTGACTATGAAATGATTCAAATCTATTACGGAAGGATCCCTTACAAGAAAACTCGTATTTATTTCCTCTATATTTACAGAGACGTTTCTGTCATTAAGATAAAACACTTACAAATGAATTTAAAATAAATCAGTTAAAAACGACTAACCAGAAGAAAAGACAGGACGTGTCAAGAAGAAAAAAAAAGGATGTTATTTATTACAAAGATGAAAGAGCAGGACGCCAAGCAAGCCGTTCGGTGTTTTGTAAGTCAAATGGAACTGGATCGTTTATTTACAGATTGCAGTGGCTTTTTCATCGGCAACCCGTCACCTGTGTTAAGTGTCAACCGACAACTGTTTTATTTCCATTTTATCTTTAGCTTAGTTCGCTATTTATCGGGATAATTTATTGACAAGTATTTTCCATTCGAAAAGAATTTATTAATGAATTTTTAAAATATAATTAGGCTTAGATTAAAGTCATCTCAATAATAATTCATCTCAAATAAACAAAGCAGTGGCATTAATATATCGGAAAATAAAATAAAGTATTAAATCCATATTCTACCCAAATAAAAGTGGTTAAGCAAATACAGTAACGTCTCAGGTGGAAAGGCCTTCTTTATCTATATCTATCTAGCTGTTTGTTTCAAGATTCGAGTGGCAGAGGAAAATTACATAATTACGTCCGGTAGCTTTCCGCTCCCTTTGGGTTCATGGAAATTCTTCTTTCATCCTCGTTTCTAATAGCTGTGATTGCGAAAGAAACTAAATAAATACTATAATTTATACATTTTTTAAGAATATTATTGCCATTATAATAATTGATTCAACAGTTACTTACTTCATAATTGAACTAGTTTTTATTCACTTTATAAAAAAAATAGCCATGTATCAAATTTTAATAATCTGAATATTGTGACATGGTTAGTTGAACGAAACAGTACAGGATAAAAATGAATGAATTGAAAAGACTATTAATAACTCATTGACAAACAAAGGCAATCCCCACGATTCATTCAAAAGTATACATCCTCACCAGTATTCAAATACTGGATTTAAGTTTTTTTTTTTTTTTTTTTAATACAAACAAGATAGTTCTCGTACAAGCGTGATCAAATGTTTTGCCCAAGTATGCTCGAAATTTACAGACGTTGTAACATCCGTGAATAAAATGATTATAAGCTTTTAAGTGTAAAACCACCTTACAACAGAATTCATGATGGTAGAGAGTTAAATTATGTTGAGAATAACTAGTAAATGTAATAATGATCTTTCTCAGATAAAGACTAGTTACAATACTGATCATTTTTCTGAATGGAGAGGATTGGAAAGATAATTGAAAAAAAAAATAACTGAAAGTAAAACAAAATATAATCAGACGAAAAATATTACAGCGAGTTAATTATTAGTTAGAAGATAATTTTGTGCTTGGAACACAATTTACTATAGTAAGTTATTGGATAATGGTCTGGATCTAATTCGATCGAATTCTGAGCATGGAAGATGTAGGCTAATAATAGGGGATCTAGGAACCAACTCAAATATCGGCCTTCTTAATAAACGAGAATCGTATTTTAGGAGCATATGCCTACAATATATCAACCTCGTCATTTTAAAATTAATTTTGGGCAAGGCTATTTATATTATAACTATCGGAATAATCACATAGTGGATCGATCTTCAAATGGTAAATTATTAAATGGATTGATTTTTTCCACAGCTGTTATTTCTTCGGTTTAAATTAATAATAAATTGCTAGTCTTAACTACTATAAAATTTCACCTTTATTTAATTTGTGTAGGCATTGGTAATTCCGAAAATTCCAAATCCCAGATGGCGGCTGATTTCAAGATCACATTCAACACACTGTAGATTGAAGCCGATACTACCCGAATATGTCCGAAAGTATACATCAACGACCGATGCTCAGCCATTCGTATAGGGATGTTTAACTCAAGTCAGATTAAATCATCTCAAGTCCCACCTACACTTTTTTTATACGAATATAAATATTAGCAAACAGATTGAAATGTATTTCAGCTTTATATTTTTTAGGTTTCCGACCTAGGATTATCATCATTCTCTGTATCCTTTCGGATTATTAAATACAGTCGATAATTATGAAGATGGGAATTAATAATAGTTACTAAATTGAAGCAATGCAGGAATCAAAATTAAATTCGGAGAGAGAAACCGTGTTAAAACACATCTGTCATTATAGGCAAAAATGATTTCCTGTGTGGGTGAAGTGATGAAACATATTTCGTCTTGGAATAACGATTCAGAACTATTACTTTGATATTAATAAGCAAACTAATAGCACCACTGACTTGATCTAGGACTAGAAAAAATCAGATGATAATTGAATAAATTCTAGCATTCAATTCCTAGTTTATAAGACCTTCACAGAAAAGAATTGTCAATCAAATATAAGTTATGGGAGTTGGTGTCGAAAGCTATTCCCACTTTTACAGCCGGTGGTTACTAAAAGTGATATATTTGCTGTTGATATCTCAAAGCCTAGAAGGAAACGCTGCGCCACATAGCGCTCGCTACAAGTATCATTTCGTTCGTCAATGAGAGGGCAATTATAAAGCGATCCTCGGGGAACCTGATAACTATAATACGACCGGGAATCCACAAGGTCTAGCAACGGAATCAAAATAACCTGCGGCGCAATAGATAAATCATACCGCAAGCCAGGGAACTTTTTTTATTTTTCAAATTTATGACTTAGTGTTGGGTCGAAATTTAACTGAGTGAAATAACGAATAGGAAAAGGAAGAGTGACTCGACATTAAAATTAATTAAACGAACGGAGGCAGGAGGTATGAATTATAAAAAGATAAATCGCCGACTGAAATCACCCGCTGCCGTCTTAATCGGGGGGTGTTAGATGTCGGAGCAGTTCTGCCAACCTATTAACCCATTAGAGCTTAATGGAACACCTGTCGCTCCTTCACAGATTTACTTTCGGCCAAATTATGGTTTGCATTTCTCATTTCCATCAAGAGTAGCTGAGAAGACGTCTAATTTATTCATAAGACTATTTTCTTTAGGCAATACAATGTTTCATAATTTATAATTTTATTGTGGCATTTAATTTTTAGCTTTCGATAGCAATCTGTCATCAAGTTTTCAAAATTTTTTTCTAAACTGTCACTTTAATTTAAACCTTAATTTGTTTTCACTGTCGAGCGTAAATTTCCTCTAGGGCCAACAACAATCCCACGCTCACGAATAATTATCTATACTGGGACACCCAATGTTAAAACTCCAAATATAAATTTTAGCCTCCGTCTTTTTCTTTACCTCAGACCTTATTTCCATTTTAATAATCGATTTGATTTACGATATATGGAATGATATATTACAATTCCATAATGCACTTTTTGGGATAAATTGCACTAATTTGATTTCTGTTACATAAAATTGCATATTTATCGCTTTTTAACTGGTTAAAGATAGTGTTAAACTTAAGGTAGTATTTAAATTACGCTCAACCGTCGTTATATCCATCATTGGCTAACTCAAAAAATTTTAGGTCCCTATTTCATAGATACTAGGTGTGCTCAGTATAGCAAAACGAGGTAGATTTGTGAAGGTTTTATTTATTTTTTTATTCTGATGGATAAAAAAAAATAAAATAAGATGTGAAAAAATAAATTAAAAATACTATATTCAATTTTTTATTATTTACTCCAAATCGTTCCAGAGAGAGTTCTTTTTTTCTTATAAACAAAACGCAGCCGATTATTTATAAACAAGTCATTATAAATCGATTCACCTTCATAACTACTATGACCTTGCAATTTAAACGTTAAGCATATCAGAGATATTGTATAAGATCAAAGGTTTAAATAATTATAAATTTTAAGGCAGTTATATATGACAGACCTATGTATAAGAAAACACCTAGAAAACGGAAATTTTTCTTTATATTTTTTAGCAATAAGCTTTTAATTTTTTTTTACTTTTATCTCGTATTATTAATGATATAACGCCGAAGGAAAATTCCCTAATAGAGATTAACGTCTTAAGAGACCTCCCTCCTCTCGGCCAAACACTCGAGATAACAAACAACTACCAACGTACTGTTTACGTAATCTTATCAACTGGTGGTGTGACCTATATTACATCATCATTACACACATTAACAAGAGAGATCGTAAAAAATTACGAAGAAATTTTGCAGTTTTTTTTTTATAAACTCAGGGCATCCAAATAGTGGTTACGGTAGTCTTGTATAAGACCAGACAAACCTGTTAACAAAACCTTTATTTTTGATACAAAAAAAAAGAAAAAAAAGATTAATAATTGATAAGGGGATACGCTACAACCTTCAACGGAATAACTAGCGTACACTTGTTAACTATCCCTAACAACAGGCCTACATCCAGTTGGATTCGGATCATACATGACCGTAATCAATTCCTAACAACCACCTGCGGCGTCTCTTGTATATTTCTCATGGCAGGCTAGTTACCGAGTGGGGTTCTTCGTAGATTGTTTTAAATAATAAACAAACATTGGCTGATAAACTCGGAAAATCTTTCCGACTAGACGGTAATTGTCTTTTGTTCAATAAACCTTTCCTTCAAATCGGCACCTGATGATAAAGAAGGCCGGGGACACAAGTGTGCCAGTGATTGATATAACGGACCTTGAGCACTCGAGCGCAGTGGTTGCGCAACCGGCACGTGCGCCGCGCACCACACGAGTGCTCTGACGTCAGCTCCGCTATTGTCTTGAGGTAATTAGCCGATTGTCGCCCGCCTTGTTGAGCTACCGTCGGGGGTCCATCTAGATACAACAGGTTCTTCGTTACAAAGCTGATATATTAGACATTCAGGGAGGATTTCATTGTTTAACGCTGTATTTAAGAATTAATTTATTTCTCTTTGAAAAAAAATAAATAAATATACGGCAGTTGTATATTACCGTTTATCATAATACTTTTTAAAAATAATTAATAAGTTTTGAATTTTGAAAGTAAAATATGTTTTTTTTTTCTTATTTTATAGAAAGAAAAGTATAGCCACCGACAAATAACTTTTTGACTGACAGAAAGAAATGCTTTGCTTTGTTTGGATAAATTTGAGGAGTAAAAATTATACAAATGTGGACAGTTGGCATAAAAATTTGCAATTAATAAATTCGAAAATAGCCAAAAAGACCGAAACGTTATATAAAAAAGAAAAATTTATATGTTTATAATAATGTATTAAATACAAATAAAGGATTGTGAGAAGAAATAAGGGTCTTATTAATTACAGAATAAATATAATAACTAATTAATAATATCTACAATAAATAGTATAATATATAATCGACTTACATCTTTCTTCATCGCGTCCAAAATAAGTGATTTCAGCTCGTTAAGGCAATGATTGATTCTCGCCCGTCTTCGCTTTTCCATAATAGGTTTGTTGCTCTGTAACCAGGATAAAAAAAAACATTAAAAAATTGCCTACACACACCTTAGAAATAGAAATAAATTATTTCGCCAGTCCTATAAGAAACGAGGCGATGATCACAATATACTGAAAGGTATACATAATTTAAGTTACATTGTAGTTTTCAAGTCTCTCAATAACATGCTATATTTTTTTAACTTAATTTATTTATCTACTGAAAAAGAGCTGGATGATAGATCTCCTTCCCTTTATTAAGCTAGTAAAACATGACAAGGAAGGAATCAGAACAAATATGTTTATTGTTGCAGTCATGTCAGGTAAGAATAAAGATTTAAAGAGAAAACTGTAATAATTGGGATTTATTACAATATTTAAGATAAAATATTTAAATTATATGTATAATATGGCATAGACTCATAAATAAACTATAAATTGGAAGCACTACTTCAATAACAATTAATCTGCTAGATCGTTGTTCTTTAAGAATCCAGACTCCAGACCTCAGGAGTGAATCGGAAGCATAGTTTAGACACTAGCTGGTAAGTTTGTGCGGGTATGGATTTAGTAGTTGAAAGAACAGAGGCTATGGAGATTTTCCACAGACCCAGACACCACTTCACGACTTATTAAATTTTTAATTTATAAATTATCGGCATATACAATAACATTTAAAATAACAGCAAGTGACTAAAGAAACTTCAGTGACATGACCCCACTGAAATAAATAATAGTTGAAAGGAAGGGGTGTAAATTAAAAAACAAAAGTGTGTTTATTACGTATAAATAAAGACCAATAGATGTTTTTATCTAATCATTAATTGGAGACAATATTTATGACATATTATAGTTTGGAAATGGTTGGTTTTAAATAATGGGACAATACAGTTTTGTCTCTCTGCTAGAAGGTTGATCATCTTGGAGTTCAAAGGTTTTTATTGCAAATACTTTTTGTTTGTGCGATTATGAAGAAATTAAGTTGGCTTAATGAAGGATTAGTGATATAATAAATAAATTGAACAGCATATCATACGATAATAATCAAACAATTCAAGTTTTGCCAATTCATATATATTTTTGTTTGAAAAGTATCGGTAAAAAAAAATTAGGGAAGTTTTGTGAAATTTCACAAGTTTGGATGGTATTCACCCAGCCTAAACTGCATCTATACCTGTCTCCATTAAGTTGTTTGCCTGTATATAAAACGTTTAAAACAGGTAAACAAACGGCTATATTTATCATAAGAACGTTAAGTATAATAATTTAAATTTGCTTGAATTTAACCTTAACCAACATCACTCCCTATTGATTTATCTCTAGGAAATTAAATGGCCAACTACTTATCCTTATTAAACATTTAAGATTTTTTTTTTTTTTTGTTGTTGACTGCAGACTAAATAGACAAAGATGTTCCGACAAAGAGGTCCCTCAGAAGTGACCATATGCGGCACAGCGTAGGCAAACCACCGAACCACTCCTACTTCCGGCCCTCGGAGCCGCTCCCATCCAGCCTAGTTCAAGAACGTCTATTGTTAATTAATTATAACAATATCGTAACGATTCAAACTATAACTGGACAGAAATCTAGAAAATTATCTACTCGAGTCACTCTAGCATGACGTTCCGGACCATCGGGTCCCAGCTGCTGCGAGCGAGGCCTTGCGAATGGCATTAAAAAAGTTGTTACTAGGATGGCATTGTAAAAGGAATAAAGGAAAAAGAAAAGAAGGTCGTTTAAGTGACTAATAGAATGCTTCTTAGCTTCTTCAAACCGCCGATAAAGGTGGCTTTGCATCAGCTCTCTTATATCTCACCCGTCGGAGATTACATAAGATATTCAGTCCGCAATGTAAGGCTGAGATTATATATTTTCTATAAATCTGTTATCACTATAATTAACAAACTACATTTGAGTTTAAAATACTATATATTTCGTTTATCTCCGTTTGATTGCATTTTGTTATAAATATATACAGTCAAGAAAATATTGAAATTCATTACTAATACATTATATATATATATATATATATATATATATATATATATATATATATATATATATATATAAAATCGTATAAATATTTTTGCTATAACATTATAACTTGTTCAAGACTTGAAGTATTAACAGTTTAGTGTAGTACGGCTAATGATTTTTTTACTCCCCCCTCCTCCCAAGATATTTCGTAGTTCATCTTTTCTTAAAAACAGAGCAAGTAGAATAAGAAAAAATATAGATCATACACAATTATACTTTCTGCTATCTGTTCAACGTTTTCGCCTTGCCCCTTATGCTGAAAATTTTCATTCTGAAAATTCATAACCCCTTTAAAAGTTGCCCCCCTTAAAAATTCAAAATCCGAAAAATATGTCCCCCTCAAAACGTTTGATGGCAGAACTTGCGCCATAAAACCCCCTGGACTTGCCAGGAAAGAATGGTATCAAGGAATACTTTTTCTCTGACATGTTTCAGTGACTCCGATTTATTAAGGAAGATCTCTTTTAATGCATCCCACGCCTTTTCTGACTCCTTTTTCCCGTTGATAGGCGTATTAGCGAACAAATATCTAGTCTATCCGTATAAATCAGCAAGAAATCCTAAGGGTAAAACAAAAGGTTTTTTTTTTAATGCAATCGATTTTAAGAATAAAATTAATAACAAAAAATTACCGATTGGGTCGGTTTAAAATTGATAATTTCTTTTTTTTTGGCACAATATTTAATGTCTAGACAAGATAAAACGAAAAAGATAAATTAAAGTGATGCACTGAAATAATTTGAATTTATCTATTCATTTGAAAACTCTTATCCCTCAAAACAATTTTTAAATTTATTATGAAACAATTTGAATATTAATAGCAAAAAAGAAGGGGTATTATAACTAATATAAGTAGCCTATTTATGTCTAGAGACTCAAGTTTGGCCAATAAAATTTTTAGGCATATGGTTAGTATATTTGTTATCTTCTTTTTTATATTCAAATTATTGAAAAGTTGGGAGATGTATAAGATATAATTAGCTTTGGCGTTTTTTTTTTATTCCATTTTAGAGACTCTTACTAAATTAAGACGTTAAAATATGCCGTAGCTGTCGTCGGGAAGCATTCGGTTGGAACGTCTGCGGCGAATATCTGTATCATTAGGGACGCCAATGGTCCGTAGATAACGTTCTCTCAAGAAGAAAAAGAAATGGAAGATATCCAAAGAAGGAATTTATGGACATGTAAGAGTGGACAATAAACTAGAAGGAGGCTGTAAGATGGGTAGCTAGGGGACGGGAGCTAGTGCAGTTAGAGCACACCGCACCAACAATAAAACACAATATTTATCAGCCATTATCTTTATCTACTGGCAATAAAATAGTCCCCTCGTTCTCTCTCTTTTCTCTTTCACTTTTTATTCCTCCTCTTCTCTTCACAATATATATATATACATATATATATGTACGGTCGGGTGTCTTTTCTTTTTTCTATCCTTCCATTCCGTCTTCCAGTTTATTGCCCTTATTTTAAAAGGTTCCGCCTTAATGGCCTCTTTCCGCTGTAATAGTCTCCAGCGTTTATCACATTTCACGGCCACCATTATCATCAATCTCCAAATCACGGCTTATGGATGTTCTACAATATTATTTTTTATTTGGCCATCGTTGAATGGTGTGGACTAGTTAGGATTATTGCCGTAAAACTCACAGCGTCGTAAAATGGCATGGGAAAGAAAGCATTTTTTATCTCTATGGGATAGAAATGATTCTTCGTAGCTAGTACGTTTTCCGAATCATAAACAGTGGCGTAGATAATACGCAATTCATAAACGAACTTTTAATATATTTATTTGTTGAATTATAATTAGTCTTTTTTCTCAAGTTATAATAAGCTGCAAGTAATTTTAATATTATGGGTTATAACTCAAACAAAATGTTAGTTAAGCTTTTCTGTTATAAATAAAAATGATGGTTTTTGCAGTTTTAAGATTAGTGACGTAGATAGCGCCAATACAACGCATTTGGAGGCAAAGCCTTAGGGGGCGCATAGAGTTAGGGGTGGAACGCACAAACGGAAAAAATAGATAACTTTTCAACCTCATAAAAAAATAAATAATAATAATAATTAAAGAATTATATATTTACTTGAAGTGAATGCCTTGATCAGGATTGGTTTTGCCATGCTTTAATTACAAAAACATACGTTAAATAATTCTCATATCAGTTATTATCATAAAAATGTAGGCTTGTTAGTCGAAAAGAAATCATGGATACCCTCGATCAATTGCTCGATTAATATTATATTCTGGTTAAGGTACATGTCTCTTTGAGGCATCAATATTAAGGCAATATACCAATGGATTTTGTAGTGTTCAATAAAATTATTGTCATGTTTTAAGCTATATAATATTATAAGCTCTAAATATTACAAGTATATGTTTACCATCCTGTGAGAACATATAGTTAATATAAATAATTTGATTCTCATTTTAGTTATTCTTTAATTATGTTAACAAATATTATATAAACTCTCTTTCAAATAATTGTTTGATATTAAAAAGAATTACTTAAAAACGATTTTTTTAAAAATAATTGTGCTCTATTAATTATATTTAGAAAAGGATTTTAAAAATGTTGCTAAGTTCGGTACCCAGGAGAGTTGATAAACTTGATATTTTTCAGGAGAGGAGGGAGGGGGAGGGAGGAAATGAAAAGGACTGTATTTGGGCGCAGACTACTGATTATAATTAGCTAGGCCACTGATTATAATACTCCGGATCATGTATAGATCTCTTGTAAAAGATTGGAAAACAGTGGTTTTCTAATTCATTATTTTCGTAGTTCTCCACCTCTAGGAAAAGAACTGCAGTAGCCTTTGACCAATCAGCTGTACGACCATCTTGGACACCAGCGGATCCAGGATTTAATTTTGGGGAGAGACTTCAGCCAGGAAGGTTTTTTTTTTATATGTATACAGATGGAAAAACAGAAAGATACTAACTACCAATATAAAATGGTGTTTAAGTGAATCTTGAAGTCCTATTAAATGTAATTAAACGAGCAATAATACTTTAAGACATCATTTTTTATATTTTTTACAATAAAACATGGTTACATTTACCATTTTGGGGAAGGGCTTCAGCCCGAAAGCCCCCTTCGTAGATCCGCCTATGATCTTGGACGATCATGTTCTATCACTTACAACACGGACGCACTAACCTTGAAGTTGTGGTGGGCAAGGAGAGGTTAGCACTAAACATTACATAGTTCGTAATAGAAAACCTCAAACGATCAATTTTTTTTTTTTTTTTTTATGCTCTTTGATAATAATAAATAATTTTAAATTATAAACAACTAATCTCGCGAAGTAAAAATACGACCAAATCCTCTATTATATTTTATTCCTGTTCAATAATAAAAGTTTATTTAAATAATCGAAAAATGGCGCAGCTATCCAAATTTTCTAGGAGAGAAAGGTTAGATATCTAGTTACCAACAACGAATAAAAGTTTATAACAATGTTTAATTATAATATAAACTAAAATTTAATATTAATTATTATTATTTTGGCATTCGCAAACTTATTATAAGGTTACGTTTGTTTTATTTTTTGTACTTCTTAGTAATTATTTTTAAAATATTTCGGTGATGGGCAGATGCTTGCTCCCATCTCGTAGATATCTACACCCAACAATATCTTTCAATAATAATTCTATATTTTGAAAATTTTAATATCTCGAATATTGCTGCTGTTAGTGCAAAAGGTCGCTTGTAAAAATATAGTTTTCGTACAGAAGAGCATACAAACTGAATATTTCTTTATGATGTATTAGTTTAATTTCATATTTTATTTCCATCTGCTATATTCCATAGCTATAGACTACATATTGTAGTTGCAGACAAAAAAATGTCCCATTTTACAAAAATTGATACACCTGACCTTTTGCACTAACAGTAGCGATATTCTTTGAAGGTTTAGCAATATTATCATTATTTATTTTTCATTTGTTAACGTTTCGGTGTTGAATCCATAACATAAAATATTAACAAATAAATTACATTGAACTCATTTACACCTACAATAATTCTTCATAATATATAAAACAAATTACAAAATATCACAATAATAAATATTACACTCCGTTTGTAAATTGTCAATAATTAATAAAAATAATAATTAAAAAAAGGAATATATTTATATATATTAATATACACGTTGATTTTTTGGTTTATTATTTTTTTTATATTATGATAAACACAAGTTCTAATACTTTTAATACTTTTATCTAATTTAAGTTAAATAAGTGTGGTATTAAATATCAGGTGGCTGAATGGGATAACCAATAAATAAATATGAAATAATATTAAAAGAAGGATTAACTATTAAACTACATTTAATTGGAATAACCACACACATTATGTATCTTTTCTTTATGATGTAAAGTAAAATACATTTGCTTGAAATAGTTATTACAGTTCTGATGGAGTACCATTTTTTTCTGGAATATATTTAACGAAAATAATTCAATAAAATTATTGGATTGGGATTTGCTTAAAAGAAATACTGTGACAAGTTGTTCATAAAGCAACAGGTGCCTTGACTGCGTTCCGTTCGGATTGTCTCCAGCATATATCATATTGATATAATATTTTAATATATTATAAAGTATACGATATGTATTTAATTACTTTTAGAATTATAAAAAAAAATAGTCAGGGTGTATGCAATAAATCACTAAGCCCCATCTCAGTATTTGTTTAAAAATAAATGTTGAAAAAAACGAATTCTTGTACTATTTTTAATTTTAAGACAATTTATCTGGGTGTATATTTTTGAAATATTTATCACCAAATACTGGTAAAAAAAAAATCACGCAAATAAATCATAGAAAATGTCTGATATTAAAAATATAGTGATTTCTTGGACCGTTAATAAAAAAAAAATTAAGATTTATTGAAAAACTTTATATTGTGACGATTATTTGTCACAGACATTTAAGATACATTATTCAATGAATTTGTATATCTGAGAAATATTTTTCTTTTATAAATTAAAAATTTTTTTTAATCTATAAAATAATAAATATTGCTATATATTTTGAATATAGTACTCACCCTCCTGTTGGAGTCTGATGGCCTGGCCTGCGGTGCTGGGCTGCCGGTAACCATTGCTCACAGTCTCAATACACCGTACTTCACAACAGTCAGTACCGAACTGGCGGGCGACGGTCGCGAGCCACTCCGACTGGAGGGGGCGCCACTTCGGCCGGAGGTACCCGAACGTGCCGGGACGGCGGGCTCCAAACGTGCAGGTCACGTGCTCGGTCCTTACCTCTAGTCGAGGCCGACACACCAAAGGGGGAGGGTGGAGGGGGTATTCTACGATCTATTGTATGTATCTATCTCTGGGCCTACACTACTGGCAAACGAGGATTGACAAGATTCTTGGGAAACCTTGTGGCAAATTAACCAACCCAACGTACTCATTTCTTTAACTGAATTCTCAATTTATAGAAGAGACCAAAATATAATTTTTTTTATCCATGAAATTTACAACTGTATTAGAATAAAAACATATCTAATAATTTTGACACACAAAATATAGTAATATGAAAATTAGATTTTAATGTCGCTCTAAAAAAGAGATATTCAGCATAAAACAAAAAAGTTCAAAATTTCAATGGTTTTTGGAGCACTCCAGCTAACCCACAAGGCTTTCAAGGGTGGAATTTGGATTTTTTATATTCACTAAATATCTAACAATATACAAAAGAGATTTGAATTACCCGACCTTTTGCAAGCTAGGCACCTTTTTTTGTGCTGATATGACAGTGTTAAGGGTGATTTTTTTAAAAATTTCTTAATGATATTTACAACTGTATTAAAGAATTTTTTAAAGTAAATTTGAACATATGGATATAATGACGTGTAAGCACTTGTTGAGAAACTACCCGATGATAGCACTCTAATGATATGTCTATATTAGGAGATCACGGGGCCATCTTCTTTTCAGACGCCTCGGAGGGTTATCAGGAATTGAAGAGGAAGCAAGGTTAGAAACGAGAGGGTTGGGGTGATTCTAAGGTCGTTATGGATGGTTTTATTTGTAACAAAGTAGGGAGCATTGAGGATTTTACGAAGAATTTTGGATTGTGAGGATTGGATACGAGAGGAATTCGATGATTTGATGGATCCCCATAGCTCAACTCCGTAAGTCCAAATAGGCCTTATTATAGTCATGTGTTTGAGTGTTTTGTAATTAATTGGAAGCTTAGAGCGTTGGTAAAGTAAGTGCTGGAGTAATCGGAAACGTCGAGCGGTTTCTTGCCGTTTCAGTCTGCTATGAGGATTCTAAATTAGACGTTTGTCCAGGTGGAGTCCTTGGTAGAAAGGTGAATTGAAGAGTTTATAAAGGATTTTGAATTGTAAAAATAGGAAATGAGAGGAATTCGTGCCCCAAACCTCAACTACATAGGTCCAAATAGGGCTTATTATACATATATGCTTAGAGCGTTTGTCTAGTAAGTATAGTAGTCGGAAACGGCGAGTGGCTGCTTGTCGTTTCAGTCTTTTATGTCGATTTCAAGTAAGACGTTTATTTAGCTGGATAAGAAAGCTGAGTATCGGATGTGTTCAACAGGGATAAGTAGGATATTATTAAAGGCTACTATAGGACACGAAGTCATGAAGTGTACAATTCAAATTTAATTACAAATAATTTGCGAGGAACGTCCGTAATAACGCGGTTACAATTTTTTGGTAAAACATTTTGAATGAAAGTAATACCAAAGATACTCATTCAAATTATTAATTGATGTAATATATATTCAGTCTTAACAGTATGCCAGAAATAATTAATTAGGGTGAAAAAAAAAATCACTGGAAAGTTTAGGGGGGATGCAAGAAGTTGAATAATGTGTCCTGTATCCGGTAAATTTTATTAAGTACAATAACTGACCGATAAAATTCAGAGATTGAAATCGATATTTAAAAAAATCAAAATCAAATCTTTTTTATCAGAATTTTTAAAAATCATTTTATGATTTTTATTAAGAGCTATTTTCTTTCTGGTCATAAGTGATAAAAGTCATATCCTGATAATTATTTTCGAAAAAAATATTTACAATTAATAATAATAATAATTCCTAAGTAATAATGTTTTAAATCAGATATATAAATTTTCTGTAATCTCTGTGATATATTTGGAGTCTGGAATAATAGGCGGAGAATATTGATGTCAACTATTAGCCACACAACATCTTTATTTTCGAAATTTTGTTTACAAAAAAGAATATACATATATATTGCAGATACCACGTACACAATTAAAGCGATTTCATAAATATACTATTAAAAATGTGTACATTAATAACGTATACATTCATATTAATATTTAGTTAAATTTATGTGTAAAAGGTGATTTTTATTTTCTAATCAAATTTTTTTTATCTCAATAGAATTATTACTATATGTAAAACCGTATCACTCAGTGAGTGATCATTATTTTTTATGGAATCAATAAACATCAAAGATAGTTTCAAGATTTTATTTATAAATCAAGCATGATTTTTATTTTATTATTAATACATAACATTAAATTGGACATAAATTAAATTTGCGATCTGCAAATTTCTTTGCAATGAGCAAATTTTTTGGCAGCTTCACAGCGTACCATCACAATCCAGGAAATAGTTCAGTTCAGCAGGTCTCTTGGCCACCGGCTACGTAATCGTCGAGGTGGGTTATACGGGTTTCTAGTGCTTTTAAGGTTTTCTGTCAGAGGATTTGTGTTGTAAGTTAGTCTTTGGTGAAATTTATTGTAGTTTTCTTTTACAGTGTCTAAAATTGTTGGGATGTTCAAGTCTTTATGTAATCTATCGTTTGCGACATAAAATGGTGCGTCAACTATTCTTCGTAAAATTTTGGATTGGAAAGACTAGATTTTTTTAATATTAGAAGTTTTAGCAGAACCCCACAATTCTATACCATAAGTCCAAATTGGTCATGGCATGATTTTTAGATTAAAAATCAAATATAATAATTATACATGGTTTTGTGCAAAGAATAATTATAGATTTCAAATCCTGCTAAAATTGGTATATGAAGATTTTGGGATGGATAACAACAGGATCTCACAGAGGTAATCAAGTTTAGAACAAATGAACATCCGAAGGGTAGACCGACACTTATGTGAAGATTATTTTCGTCATAACTTTTGTTTCTGTATTTATACCAGGCTCTGGAGAGAAATCTTTCAATGACCCTTGGAATAATTTTGCTGGAGACCCGTCAAATATTAAATTTACCACTAAAATTAAATCTCATCTTCTATAATCTATGAAACAAAAATAAATTGTTCCTTAATAATAATTATTATATAAAATATGTAATGTTATCTATAGTTTATTTCAATGTAAATTTAGAAATTAAAAAAATAGAATCTTGTAGATCAGGAAGGCCTCCCTGTTATCAAGGCGTTTTGAAGCTTATAAAAAAACACGTTTCTTCATGTTTTATTACACTATTGTACAATGCTATTTTTGAACATGTGTGTTTCTGAATCGTTGGAAAGAACAAATCATCAAGAATAAAATAGATAGTTAACTAAATATATTAATAAAATAAAATAAAATAATAAATTTGTATGATTGAATTTAGAAACATAAATATAAATATTCGAAGAATCCCTTGGATATGTTTAGAAATTATTTTCAAACATTAACATTATTTTGTTCATTAGATCTACCTATTTCTTATAATTAAGTAAAATAAAATAATAAAAAGAATTATAATTATTCTGTGATGCATTCTAAAGGACGATATCCCCATTTGGCTGGAGCTGTGCTCGGAATTGCAACAATTCTTCAGCAGGTTTGTTATCGGGAGAGCCTAGAGGAAGAAATGGAATGCAGGTGAGGTATAATGCCTCTAATTAGTGGCGCAATGCTGCTAATTATTCCCGATGGCATAGCATCAACCTTAGCAAAACTTGAGCAGAAGCCCAGACTTTTCATTGGTTGGAGGGAGGTGCGATGGACACCCGCCATTTGATATGATCTCTAAATTCTCCAGTACTTCACATTTGTCGCGTGAAATGTGATAAAATCTTCACGTAAAAATGGAAGGGTGCACGTGAATAAATCATAAAGTCCTGGGATACGTTGCTACGTACTCGTATAACTATCTTTAAAGATAAACTAAAATTTCAATCAAGGAAATATATGGCGTGGTGAAATACTTGTATACATACTTCTAGCTCTAAACTTCCGTGGTACATACTTATAGTGCGTGGTACAGACAATTTTTTATCGAATTATTAACATCCGCCTGAAGCTTTGTAAATCGTTTCATCTCATCGTAACCTACAACTATTTTATTTTACGAAAACTCTTGACATTGGGGCATTTTCGTAAATACCCATTTGCTTTCTACTTGGATCGTAATATAATTTGATCACAAAATCCAGAAAAAAGGTGGCCTTCATTCAAAAATATTGAGCCCTTTGACGTTGCCTACATTCCCAAAATTTCAAAATAACGAGGTTATATTGGACAAACGGCCCAATATTTTTGAAGGCCACCTTATTTCCCTATTTTGTTATCCAATTAACTTACGATCTAAGTAGGAATGAAATGGGTATTTACGAATTTTTAGTACCTCATTAAATAGACAAAGTTTGCCCCCCTCCAGATTGAAAAATCAAAGAGTTTTCGAAAAATAAAATAGCTGTAGGTTACGATGAGATGAAACTATTTACTAAGTTTCAGGCGGATGTTAATAATTCGATAAAAAGGGGTCTGTTCCATGGACTACTTGCCATCTTGTTTTCTTATTTTCATAATTGATTTTAGTTTACATTAATTCTTCTGAATTTATGCTTAATTGATTTTATTTTAGCTCTTCCAGATTTTGGTGGAGGGGGCGAAACGATATTCTGGCCTCCTCGAAGTCTTGAAACTTGAAGATATTCAGAAAACTAATTCATTATATTGAGCGTAGCCCCTTTTGAAAATTATAAATGACTTTCAAATACCTAATAAATCATGAGAATTAAAATCTGTTAACCTTCAGTATTTTAAAATTTATATTTTTGTTTTTCCTCAGCTGTGGTCTTGAAATATTGCGGCAATTATTAAATGCTCCTTTTATATCATCATCTTCTTGGCTGATGACCTTTTGAATAGCAACTAACTTCCCGTTTGTGTTCTCCAAAAATCACTAAAAAAGTCAGACTGGGGTTGAAAAGGATTCCTGATTAAGTCGAAGATACTTTTTTTTTTATTATATCCATAATTTTAATTT